AAGTGGATAGAGTGTAGTCTTGACATGGGTATATAGACTCTAGAGGACTAGGAAGCATGTTGAGGAGATCCAATGTTGGTGAGGAGTTACAATGAAATCTAATTCAGGAAATGGGCTCATGGTAGAGATGGTTCCTTACAGGGAAGGTCACTGGAAATCCTCTCATATTCTTATTTGGGGATTTTTCTTTCTGATTGATTTTATTATTATTTTTTATATAAAATTTTTTATTAATTCTTTGAGAATTACATGTGCAATTTGATCACATTCATTCCCTTTCCACATAGTTTTTGCTTCTTTGTGAGCTGCACATCTCTTATTGCTGCAGAAAACAGGATGGTTAGGACAGCCATGGGCTGCTGTGGTGGTTTCCAAACTGGATATTCCAAAGAAATGATGGCTTAGTGATTGTTGAGATTTTTTTTTACCAACATCAAGAACCTTTAAAATTAAAAAGGCTATAATTTATGCCTAACTAGCTATTAACTGACATAGACTTTTGGTGGGCAGAATTGGTAAATTAGCAAATGAGAAGATGCCTAGCTGGGCATGGTGATGCACCCTTGTAATCTCAGCAACTCAGGGGACTGAGACAGGAGGATTGCTACATGTTTGAGAGCAGTTCGAGCTACACAGTGACTACAAGGCCAGCCTAAGAACCTTGCTTCAAGAGAAAGAAAGAAAGGAAGGAAGGAAGAAAGATAAAAAGAAAGAGAAAGACCTGAACAAACTCTTATTTTCTGTGGTAGTCTAGATCTTCTCCCAACTAATTTCTCATAAAACTGAGTAATATCTGAAGCATACCAGGTATCTTTTCTCACCTACTAAATGCTTAGTTACATGCCTTTCCTGCTACTTTGTTTCTGTGTCAGGCATTATGCATATTTTATATTCAGTGTAACATTATCAGAACAAACACTTTGATGTTAATATTTAGTGCCTTGAATTCATGACATACTACTGTTTAAGCATATTAGACTCATTGTAGTTTAGGGATTCCTCTGTACGATCTCTGGGGCGGCCTAGACTCCCTCATTTCGTGACTGTGTATGAATGAAAGCTCTTATGTACTTTCCTGTGGTACATTAGCTACGTTTATCCTTATTAGATTACAAATGCTGTCAGCTAGGGCACTGAAAGAAGATGAGCCGCCCCAAAGGGAATGTACCCTGGTTAAAAGACTGGACACAGTGTCTGGACTAATTTAAATTGTCTGCCTATGAATACAAACCAAAGCAGCTGTATGAAGTATCGTGGTTCTTTTTCAACTCACTGGCATGATTCTTCAGTTCACAGGTATGGTTTGTAGCCAAGAGCACTCTTTTCCACTTTCCACTTAACTCAAGACCAACTCTTGGAGTTGGTTGTCAACTGTGCTACCATCACGGCCAACTCAGGTCTCCAGAGTGTTTCCTCCTACCCTCTTCAGTGGTAACAGGATGTTGGCAGGTGCTGCTGTGCTGCCTCAGCCAGGATAGGATACTTGTTTCTTTCTAGACACACACAGAAGTTTCACTTAGATCCCTGGTTTCTTGCCATCTCGTAGCTGAATTTCTACAGGTTGCCAGAAGTGTTTCCATTCCACCACCAAAAGTGATTTTAACTTAGCAGGTTTTAGAATGAGGTTGTTCAAGAGACTCATACAGTGCTTATGATCAAAGGAATCATCTACAAATTTAAATAGTTTTATTGAGATTTGCAGCCCATCTTCCAGTTTTCCTTTTGAAGACTGTAAAACAGTTAATGTGGCTGTCAAGTTAAGTCAATAGACCTGAAGAGATTGTTACCTGGATTCACTGAAGTAATAAGAATAGGTTATGGGAAGCCAGTGTAAGAGGATTCATTGAATTTCTAATTACTTAGTTCAACATATTAGTATTTACTTGTTTATGTCTTTATCTTGACTTTTATCAGCAGGAAAACAATGTAAGTACTTCTGCTGTTATTACTACTAGGGCAAATCAATTGAAGGTTTTAGTTGGCTGAAATCCACCCCCATTTTTTTTTTTTTTGATACCTGGTAGTAGAGATGTCACAAGAACCACACTATTGTTAAAACGAACCACTGTGCTGATGGATTATTACCGTACTTGGACATGCTTCAAGTTCCCTGAGTATCTTACATTAAGTGATAATGACCCAGTTCTTAAGGAATTTTGCTTCTGTGAAGAACCCTTATATTTATATTTTCTTCAGTTTGAATGCATTCCTAGATCTTCTTATAGATGAGTGTTTTTCTTCAACATTTTCAATCCAGAATCCATCAGAAACTTTATGCTTAAGGTTTTCTTACTCAGAGCTCCTTTAGAAGATATTATTTGGTGTTTTTAAAGATAGCTAATATACTGATTACTATGTGTTAAAGGTTTGGTCCTGGGGAGGGGAGCACTGCTGGGAGGTCCTTAGGTCACCGGAACTGTGTCCCCCAAGACTGTGGGACCTTAGTCTATGCCCCCTCTTTGCTTTCACCATGTGAGTGTTTTTTCCTACTATGCCCTGACTTGGTCTGTATTGCTGTATCCGAGGTCCACAGCACTGGGGTGAACTTGGTGTTGCTCTGGAACCTACAAAAGCATGAGTTGACCAAAATGTTTCCTTTTCTTGTGTGCATGTGTATGTATACTGTGTGATGTGCATGTATGCATCTGTATGTGGAGGCCAGAAGACAACTTCCATGTCCTCAGCTACTGTATACTTGGTTTTTAAGACAGATCCTACAATGATCTGGGATTCACCAAATAGGCTATGCTAGCTGTTCACTAAGTGCCAGGGAGCTGCCTCCTCTGCCTCCTGAGCACTTGGGTTATCATTCAATGCTACCATTTTTTCACACAGGTACTGGGGATGGAACTTAGATCCTCATGCTTGCAAGGTCTGGGTCCCATGGGTACTGCCAACAACAAAGTCAACAGCAACAAAACAAACAAACAAAAATCAAACCCTCACAGTAACTTCTGAGTGTTATTTATTTTAAAATTAAAACCCATTCTTTTGTTGCATTTGTGTGTGTGTGTGTTCTTACTTAAGAATCAACTGCTGCATTCTGTGACTATCTAATTAGCTAGGAGAATGAATCAGCAGTCAGAGAATCAGTTATTTGCTTTGCTAGCTGTATAACTTGGCTTTATGTTCTTTAGTGTCTTGGCACTTATGAGTCAAACTCTAAAGAGTATGAAGTTTCTCTCTGCCTCCTAAGTTCAATGATAGCTGATTTTGGTGCATAGGGGGTGCTAGGGGTACCACCAATACAGGAGAGTCCTGTACCTCTTGGACAAGACGCAAAACGTTGTTTGGGAAACTTTGCCCTCTCCTTTGCTTCCTTTCTTAATAAAGGTACATTCTTTTCCTCTGTCCATCCCTCCCTCCCCTTCTCCCCTCCATTCCTCCTCCTCACCTTTTTTTAGTTGTCTACATACTATTTTAGAGTCTACCTTGAAAAAGACAGCAAGATTCAGGATTTGTAGCTTTTTAATATTTATTAATTTTTAATTTTTTTCATTAAGCTATATTTTTTTCTCTGCTCCCCTTCCATCCTCCTTCCCTTTTACCCTCTCCCATGATCTCCACTTTCCCAATTTACTCAGGAGAGCTTGTCTTTTTCTACACGTAGATTAGATCCATGTCCTCTTTGTTGTCTATGTTCTTTGGGGTTATGACTTGTAGACTGGTTTTTCTTTGCTTTACGCCTAAAGG